TCCCACTTCTTTAACATACTTCTAAACTGCAGAATTAATGAACTTTGGCACCACTTTAGATGTTATTGTTCAGTGCTATAGAAACCGGGAATTGTAGTTTGGTGAGGCACTAGCATAGTTTGGAAGAGAAGGCAAAACACCTTGTTGAACCACAGCTCCAATTATTTTATAGCGCAGAAGGATGGCAGTTGAAATGGTGTCAAGCTGCATTCATTCTATACTGCAGATTCACTCTCAGCCCTTGATCTTCTGGGTCTATCTCAGACTGCTTTTTTTGGCACAGTTGTAATTTTTTAGTGGTCTTAATAAAGGTGTTACCCAACATGGATAACTAATATTTACTTATGGATGACATAGCTGATTTTAAAAATAATCACACAGATGGTTATCTTTCCTTTTTTCTGACAAGGCCTTTTCTTCTGAGCACAGATGATTTTGTACAGGCATTAATCACTGTGCCGCTGCTATCCCAGTATCCACTGTGATTCATTCTCCTACAAAAACATGGATTATTTCAAAAACTTGAATTCCAAATTTAGACAAATCAAAGGGAAAAGCAAGATTGATCTCCAGTAGTCTAGTTATACATATTTAGAAATCACATTAAAGAGCTGGTACAAATGAGTCTGAATTGTACTGGGATGTCATTCATTGATTCAGTTAATCCATTGCTGTTGGGATTAGTCATAAGACTGAACCCCAAATGAAAGGATGCAACTACAGTGCACAATTAATGCAGTTTGACACCATTTGAACTGCCATGGCTCAATGCCGTGGAATCATGTGAGCTATAGTTTGGTGGGACTCCAGCAGCATTTGGCAGAGAAGGCTAAAGTCATTGTGAAACTACAACTCCCAGGATTCCATAGCCTTGAGCTATGCCACTTCAAGTGGTGCCACACTACATTTATTTTGCAGTGTAGATGCACCCAAAACTGCACTGGAAAACAAAGAGCAAGGAGAAGGAGACTCCACCACACTCTGTATCAGCAGCACTTTTGAACAGCTCTTACCATCAAGAAGTATGCATATTGTTCATTATGATTGAGGCCCTGGTGGGGCAGAGCTCTAATCAAATTGTTATTACTATAACTAGCTGTTATACTTAGACGATCTGTTGTTGTCTGAATATGACGGTCTTCCAAGTGCAGTATCTTGGCAATGGATACATAGGTGACTGTGGAGCTCTATTCTTGACCTGCGTGTTCTTCCACAGTGAGGACTTCAGTTTCTAGGTGGAAGGTGGTCCTGATCAGGGTTGGCTTGACACACCTTCCTCTTGGCACATGTCTCCCTTTCACCCTCCATTTGTGCCTCTTCAAATTCCACAGCACTGCTGGTCACAGCTGACGTCCAGTTAGAGCGCTCATGGGTCAGGGCTTCCCAGTTCTTGGTGTCTATGCCACAGTTTTTAAGGTTAGCTTTAAGCACATTTTAAAATCTCTTTTCCTGTCCACCAACATTCTGTTTTCCATTCTTGAGATGGTGATCTGGCATTCGGACCACATGGCCAGTCCAGCGACGTTGATGACAGAGGAGCATCGCTTCAATGCTTGTTGTCTTTTTTATTCCAGAACGCTGATATTTGTCTGCCTGTCTTCCCAAGAGATTTACAGGATTTATCAGAGGCAACACTGATGGAATTGTTCCGGGAGTCGATTGTGACATCTGTAAACAGTCCACGTTTCGCAGGTGTATAGCAGGTTTGGGAGGGCAATAGTTTTATAAACAAGCACTTTGGTATCCCTACGAATGTCCTGATCCTCAAACATTCTCTGCTTCATTCAGAAAAATGCTGCAGCTGCAGAGCTCAGGTGTTGTTGTATTTCAGTGTCAATGTTTTGTGGAAAGGTGGCTGCCAAGGGAACAGAAATGAATAACATTTTCTAATGTTACACCATTAAACTGTATTTCTGGCAATGCTGAGGGATTGACTGGTGACTGCTGGAAGAACAGCAATCAGTGTTAAATGAGAGGCCGAGCTTCTTGTATGCTTCCGCAAAGGTGTTTAGAATGGCTTGTAGGTCTTCTTCTGAAAGCACACAGACTACATTATCATCAGCATATTGGAGTTCTATAACAGATGTTGTTGTGATCTTGGTTTTGGCTTTAAGTCTACTGAGGTTAAATAGCTTGCCATCTGTTCAATATATGAGTTCCACTCCAATGGGAAGCTTCTGATCGACAAAATAAAGTATCATTATGATGAAGATGATAAATAACACATCTCTGTTTGACATCTGATTCCACCTTAAGTGGGTCATTTTGGGAACCATTGCTGTCCAAGGTCGTTGCCATCATGTCATCATGAAGAAGCCGCAGAATATTCACAAAATTGTCAGGACATCAATTTTTGGAGGATGGTCCAGAGAGCACTGCGATTCACTGTGTCAAATGCCTTTGCGAGGTCAATGAATGCCATGTACAGATGTTGATATTGTTATCTGTATTTTTCTTGGATCTGTCATGCAGTTAAAATCATGCATACTGTTCCTCTGGGAAAAGTAGAAGGCTTTTTGCAAGGATTTGTTATTACTGCCATAACTTGTGTGAGATATATATATATAATACATGACTTACTAGAGAAGATAATAATGCTTGCTAAGGTAAGAAGGTAGAATGAGAAAAGAAAGACCCCATTAAGGATGTATAGTTCTCATCAAGGATAGTAAAGCTGATCTGAATTTGCAAGACCTGAGCAGAACTGTTGAGGATAGGGGACCTGGAGCTTTCTCATTCACAGGGTCACATACACAGAAGTTGTCTTGATGACAGTTAACACTAGCATGTATATTCCTAGCTACATCATTTTTTTTGGGAAAACATCCATCTGAATGCTTGAGAAAATAGCCCCCTCTTCCAGCAATTAATCTCTGAATTTTTCCCCCACAGTACATATTATGAAAAGTAAGTTATCAGTAATCTCTTGTCTAAGAGGAAGTTTTTATGGCCAAATTATCCCCAAAATAAATGTATTAAAAGAAACCATATTAGTTTTACTTCTAAATCTGAGTAAAGTGCCTCTGAATTTGGAGGCTCAGTGTAAATCTTCCAGGACTTTACTTATTTGGTACCTGGTGAATAAACATGTTTGATATTTAACTAGTCCAGCAGATGGCAGCCTTATCCCAGTAAAATAAAATGTGCCACTGCTGTACAATGCACAGCTGGAAAAATCATGTTAGTGCAATATCATGAAAGTCTTGTTAAAGAAAGTTACCCTTGTATTTGCTAAAGGGATAGCTCTGATTTACACATATTTTATTTTGCTTTTGCAAATTCTCAGAATTCCCAATTTCTTTTGTAAAGTAAAGGTAAAGGTTTCCCCTAACATGAAGTCTACTTGTGTTCGACTCTGGGGTGGTGCTCATCTCCATATCTAAGTCGAAGAGCCAGCATTGTCCATAGATGTTTCCAATATCATGTGGCCGACATGACTGCATGGAGTGCTGTTACCTTCCTGCCAAAGGGGTACCTATTGATCTACTCATATTTGCATGTTTTCATGCTGCTAAATTGGCAGAAGCTGGGGCTAACAGTGGGAGCTCACCCTGCTCCCAGGATTTGACCCGCAGACCTTTTGGTCAGCAAGTTCAGCAGCTCAGCCATCGGGGGCTCAGTTTTGGAGGTGTCTCGGGTAATGGTGATTGGTTTCTTATATATGTGCAAAAGGGACTGGACCTTTTTGTCTGATGTGGAAGCCTTTACTCAGTTCAGGTTGTGCAAGTAGCACTGTGCACCCTGTGGCATTGTACCCATGTAGTGATGCTTTTGTGCATGCAAGAAATCAAGAATTGCTTGTGAGATGTCCTTCAGTCACACATTTCGTTGCATCCAAGTTTGTCATTCAACACAAGATTTGCATAGTCAACTTGATATGGAGAGAATTATGCATCCTGATGTAGGAACTCAACAAATGTGTTTCCTTTTTATTTTGTACATTAAAATATTATGTCCCACCACCCTTTGGCTAAAGATCTTTAGAGAGTATTGTACAATAGAGTCAACCCAACAAATTTAAAAGAGGATCTGTTGAAAAGTTACAAATTTATCAACTAGGCTTATGCATTCTTATCAGTACTCATGTTTACTTCCACGGCATTATTGCAATGTTTGCAAATGCTTTCCCAAACTAATGTTCATAGCCTGCAGGCACACCAATGGAGGCCTTTTGCATGTTGATTGGAGTGCTACTGATGACATTTCCAGACCCACTGCACTAGTGTGCTCTGGTGTGTCAATTAGAAGCTGGACCCTTTAATTTTAATCGGTCCATTGTTCACTCCCCCTCTTTTTGTGAGGTCTGCATCCAGGAAGAAGTGGACAGATTGGATTATTTTTGTTGCTTCAGCAGGTGAGAGAGCTCTGGAAAACTCCTGGCCACCAGCAAAGGCATCTACATGACCAGAGGAAAGGTTGGGTGATCTCTCTTCCTTCTTCTTGGTTGCATGGGGATGTATTTGTTGATGTTAGTAAACATGAGTGGCAGTAGCTAGATCCTCTCCAGAGCTCTGTGTGGCTTCCACAGTGAGGGTAGATATTTGAAGTAGTCTTCTTCTCACATAACCAAGTGCCACCATTCCCTTTTCACTGGGAAGGGTGACTGTCCAGTGGGACTGAACCAGACATGGTTGACTCCACTCCCACCATTGCTGCTGTATAGGGATGGAATGTGTAAATAGCCAGAGGGCAACCCCTACTACATTTAACTCATGAGATATTACTGTGAGTGATTAATATCTGTTTTCAGGTTGATTAGGACACAGTGTGCTGCTGTTTCCACCCTCCTTCCGTGAGTATTTTCTGATGTGACTGATTACCAAAAAATGAGATCCCGGTTGCAATTCCTTCTCGCAATGAAAACTGCTGATAAGGGCAGGGTGGAATTGTCTGTTGCATCTGGATCAACATAATCTTTGCTCACAGAAGCCAATACGTGATAAATTAGTATTGGCATTTTTAATAAGATTTCATGTACTCTACATTATTTATGATCCAGCTGAGTGAGGTTTTTGCATGTGTGCTCCCTTGGTTTGTTTCACTGTGATTCTTGCACAATAATACACAGCAGTGTCTGCAGCTGTCAGAGAGTTCAGCTGAAGGTATACTTCATTTTTTGAGGTGTCTCTGCTAACAGTGATTCGACTACCAAAGGCTGTGTTGTAGTAGGAAGTTCCTCCAGCTGCTGTACTCCGAATGGTGCCCAGCCATTCTAGACTCTTTCCTACAGTCTGTCGGATCCAGCTCCAATAATAGCCACTAACTTGGACACCAGTAATGGTGCAGGTCAGTTTGAAAGATCCTCCAGGTATCACCAGTTCTGGGCCAGACTGGGTGAGCTGTGGGCTGGAAAGGACACCTACAAAAAAGAAAGAAGTAGAGAGACATCATTCTTTTGTTCTTGGTGTTATGTTCAACACTTTTCTCCCCTCTCCCAGTATAAATTCTCACCAGGTGAGATGCATTGCAGAAGGAGAAAATGCAGGATGAATCTCATTTCTATACAGTGTTCTTCCCACCTCCTGCCCCCAAATGTGATACAGAATAGATAGAAAATGACTAGCTCATGGTGCAACATTTGGTGAGTCCATTTAAACAGGAATATTCTGAAATTTGCATACAGGAAGCCTTAAATGTCTACTCTCAATTTGCATAGAAGGTGAAGAAAGTATATAAGCAAGCATTTTTGCAATGAAACCTCCAAGTATTTCTCAAAATCAGGATTGGATTAGTTGTTTTGCTGTCAGAGATGGTTTATTTATTTATCTATAGTGTCAGGAGCGAACCAAACAGTTGTGTTGTATTTTTTTTTTGAAAAATACAAAGTTTGCAAACTTGGTATTCTATTAAATGTCCTTTGACCAGTAGCTGGCCACTTGGAGTGCCTCTGGTGTTGCTATAAGAAGGGCTCAGGCCACATTGTAGTAGGTGGTCTGTGGTTTGCTCTTCTCCACACTCGCATGTTGTGGACTCCACTTTGTAGCCCCATTTTCCAAGGTTGGCTCTGCATCTCATGGTGCCAGAGAACAGAAACGAACAGTCAGAGATGGTAATCACAATGTACTTGGTGTCTTACATATGTGCAAATTCCTTTATGAAAGGGGTCCACATTCAGTTCAGGTTGTGCAAGTAGTACTTTGAAAATTCAGGAAAAAAAAATCAATTCAGCAAATTAGAAAGAGTAAAAATGGATAATACAATGTAACGCTATGTAAGGCAGTCCCTGAGTTACAAACAGCTGACTTACAAATGACTCATAGTTAAGAACAGGGTGAGTCAACAGGAAGCAAAAGAAGGAAAAATCCCCACGAAAGTATTATCATGGGGAAAATGTGTCTCCACTGAAGCTTTATCACCAATCCTTTCTTTCCATTACAAGCCATTTCCCCCCCAAAATCCAATAATCACCGGAACTGAAAGCGAGGGGACAGACAGGAGCAAAGACAGACACAATTCTGTTAACCCTTCTCTATGCTATTCAAAGCATGCATGCAAATAGATAGATATACATAGTGATAGATAGAGAGAGAGAGTTGGAGTTACACTTAAAAATGCACCTGTTCTGACTCTCCTCAACAACTTCATTAAGTTGTACCTTCTAGCCTAACTGCTCCCCACTTCATTCCAAATAGCCAGATATCATTTGAGTAATGGAGATATATTCTCTTAGTGAGTGGGGCGTAGTGGACTGATGTTCCCACCCCGCTTCTATAAGTGGCCTCTGGTGTCACAATCAGAATCAAGTCACTTATTGCAATTATGCCTCATTTCAGAGATTGCTGACATGAGTACAAGTGGAAGAAGCACTCTGTTGCATCCAGATTAACAGAACCATTGCTCACAGTGACTGATACCTGATAAACTAGAACTGGCAAATTTTTACACTGCTAAATGTTCCCTACACTATTTAAGATGTGGGGTTGTGAATACAAATCACTCTATATTATGCACTCATAACTGTGGTCTTCATGATATGAGAGAAAGGCAGCTGAGGAACTGGAAGGTTATACCCTCTAAAATCCACACCTGTCTTCCCATTCCAATTAGGGTTAATGATGAGGAAAGACAGCCGAGAAGCAGAGACTGGATGGCCATCTGTCAGGAGTACTTTGATTATGTCTTTTTCTTGGCAGAGGGTTGGACTGGACATCCCTTGTGGTCTCTTCCAATACTATGATTACCCCCTACTGCAGGAGACTTTCTTTTTACATGACATGGCCTCAAAGACTTCCTATATTTAGAAGGTTTTGGGTGGTAGAGTGAAAACTTATTAAATCGTTTGTTCTTCCTTGCAGGGGCACATACGCACATAGCAGGGGCACATAACACATTCTTAGGACCTTGTCACATGCCTCTGGTGTCATTTTGCCGGCAAATGTGGCAAAATGGCAGGTGCGTGGGGTGACTCGGTGCTCTGTGCCGCGATGCTTCCCTATCACATGGGGGAAGCATCACCTAACCAGGGAAGAAGTGTTGTTCTGTGTGCTGGGCCTGTAACAGCTGTACTTTTCTATAGGACGTATACTTTAAGCCCAATGGGGAGCCAGGGCGCCTCAAAGAGAGGTTCTCAGGGATTTTTCTGAAGTGATGGTCTTTAGAGTCTTTAATGATGCAACAAAGTCTTTATTATGGAACAAACAACACTTCAAGGCTTTCTTAGTCTAGTCCTCAATGGACTGGTATCTGACTTTAATTAACTGTACTTTCTCTGTAGGAAAAAAACCCCCTATTTTTCCTATCTATGTTTACTATCTATGCCTCATCAGTGTGCGTCCTACTACCCATTCCAAATGTGTCTGGGTATCGAGTAGACCTACCAGCCGAGGCTTGTAGACATTTCAGATGGAGTTCCGTGGATCTGTAGTGCTGTCCTCCCTCAGAGAATTCTTTGAAAACCTCAGGGTTGTTTTCCCTCTGATTGCTGTGAGGCTGAGAGGCTGTGAGCTCTCAGCCAGAGCCTTGGGACCTTTTCCCTGGAATTTCTGTTTCTGTTTCCCCAGATGTTCTTGAGAAAAGAAGCTTTTCTACGGGACGAGCTGGTCTACGTCCTATAGTTTAGCTTTCTTATGAGAGACTAACTAAAAATGGATCTCTTCCCTTCCCAATTGCCCTGAACAAGGGGCGGAATCAAAACTTAACGATGATGGATAGGTGACTTGTAGGTCTGGGCTATTCGCTTCGTTAATTCGTTAATTCGTTAAATATTCGTTATTCTTCCAATTACAAAGCGATTGCGAAGCAGTTTTCCAAACCCGGGAGGGTTAAAAAATAACGAAGCGGCAGGCCCCATCCTTTTAACGAGCTTCCGCCCGCTTCGTTAATGGAGGATTGAGGGTTAATGGAGGATTGAGGATGCTGGTGTCCTGGGAGGCTGGAGCCAATCAGGAAGCAAGCACTGCACCGTGGCAGTGTCTGATTGGCCGGCAAGGCCTTTAAAAGCGGCTCCGCGTGGCCGCGGAGCTCATTTGCGGGGAGGCGAGGGAGGAGGAGAGAGGTCTGGGAGGGCTGCTTTAGTTGCTTGTGCTTGCTTGCTCCTTTCGCTTTGGGTTGGATTGGCTGTGGTGGCTTGGGTACTGGGTAGGAAAAAGAAAGATTCTTCTGTGTGTGCTGTAGATTTTGCCCTGTCTTTTGGCTCATTTATTCTAAAAAAAATATTCTAAAAAAACAAAAGCCTTTTCTGTTCTTGTGTGTGCTGTGCTCGATCTGCCCTGTCTTTTGGCTGCCTGTTAGCTCTACAGCAGGGCCATTTTTGGGTTCAGTTTCCTTTTTTTATTATTTTTTTAAAATACCAGTGTGTTTTATTCTTAAAAATATACAAAAAATATTCTAAAAAAACAAAAGCCTCTTCTGTTCCTGTGTGTGCCGCCCTGTCTTTTGGCTGCCTGTTAGCTCTACAGCAGGGCCATTTTTGGGTTCATACTCCATTTCTTATTATTTTTTTTAAAATACCAGTGTTTTATTCTTAAAAAAATACAAAAAATATTCTAAAAAAACAAAAGCCTCTTCTGTTCCTGTGTGTGCTGCCCTGTCTTTTGGCTGCCTGTTAGCTCTACAGCAGGGCCATTTTTGGGTTCATACTCCATTTCTTATTATTTTTTTAAAATACCAGTGTTTTATTCTTAAAAATATACAAAAAATATTCTAAAAAAACAAAAGCCTCTTCTGTTCCTGTGTGTGCTGCCCTGTCTTTTGGCTGCCTGTTAGCTCTACAGCAGGGCCATTTTTGGGTTCATACTCCATTTCTTATTATTTTTTTAAAATACCAGTGTTTTATTCTTAAAAATATACAAAAAATATTCTAAAAAAACAAAAGCCTGCCTTCCCTCCTTAATAATAATTTTAATTTCTCCTCCCTATTCTACTAAATTAATAATTAAATTAAAAAAATATTTTAAAAATATTGAAAAAAAAGGGCGCCATCTTTACAAAATGTTTTGTAAATATTAACGAAATTTCGTAAATACCGAACTTTTTTAATGGAAAATTTTGTAATTATTTTAAATAACGAAACAAAAAAACACCCCAATTACAAAACGATTACAAAACCAAATTTTTGCGTTGTTACCCAGGCCTAGTGACTTGTCCTACGACTGCAACCAAAGGAAGCCACCTTTCTGCAGAATTCCTGAAACCTTGGACTGCAAGCAAACATTTAATACAAAGCAAATAAAGTTGGAGCTCCTGGTACAGCTGTACCAGCACAAGTGTGTTGGCTCGATTGGAGGCAGCCAACATGAGAGCCTCCCGTGTTGACGAGGAAGTGGTCTAGGATGCTACCATGCCAGTTGGCTCGGGGCCTTTGCCAGAAGTTGAGGGACATTGTGTGATGGATTGTGTGATGAGCAAGCAGCCTAGGACAAATACATTGCTAAGTGTGATGAAGTTTGTCAGGAGGCTGTAAGAAAAGTGACTGCTGAGGGGCATTCTATTGCTGTGTAGTGCCATCTTCAAGTTATCTGAAACATTGAAGGCCATCATTCACTGCTTCCCATACCATATGACATGTCATTGACATGGATTTCTTTCAACACGCTTCTCATTAACACATACGTGTCCCAGATACCCTAAATACCCTAATGGCACCCAATCCTATCTGATCTTAAAAGCTTATCAGAATCAGCACTGGTTATTACTTGGATGGGAGACAACTTCAAGTCCTGTAGGCTCTATTTTAGATGAAGGAAATGGCAAAACTACCTTTGAGTCTTCTTTGTCAAAGAAAACTCTGTGAAATTCATGGGTTCACCATAAGACAACAGGCAGTGTGAAGGCAGTTGCTGCCCAGTAAAGCAAGTTGGGGATGGGGTCAGGGAAAAATGGTTTGTAAATAAGTAAATTCATATCATCAGCTGGGATCCTGTTGTTCAGTCCCAACTAGAGCATATTACAATGAAGTGAAGTAAAGCAGAGCAAAGCAGAGTACAGTTAATTTGGCTCCACTGAATCAATGAATGCACAGTGAGTCAACACATAAGCAAATTCAGCAGATTCATTGATTATTCCAGTCTGGACTAACAAGATGTAGGTTGCTTTTTTTTTTATTTTACAG